GGTGTTTGTAGAGACTAGTCATGAAGCCGTGAAAATGGGTTCTTTTTTAAAAAAATTTTATTAGTAAAACACCATGAGGTACAGTTGTAGACTTACAAATTTTTGTGCTTGGGTTTCAGTTATACAATGATCCAGTACCCATCCCTCCACCAATGCCCATTCTCCATCATTTACTTTTTTTTTTTACATTTTTCTTAGTGAAACACCATGAGGTACAGTTGAAGATTTACAAATTTTTGTGCTTGGGTTTCAATTGTACAATGATCAAGCACCCATCCCTCCACCAGTACCCATTTTCCACCACCATGGGTCCCAGTATCCCTCCCACCCCCCATCCCTCCATCCCACCCTGTCTCTGTGGTGGGCTCTTTTGCATGACTTGAACACTGTCTGTCCTTGCCACCTCCCCAGGAGTGCCTGAGTTTTCTTTCTTTTTTTTTTATTGAATCACCATGAGATACAGTTAGAAGCTTTCATGTTTGAGTTACAATCATACAATGGTCAACACCCATCCCTCCACCAGTGCATATTCCCCACCACAAATCTCCCCAGTATATCCCTCCTTTCCCAACTCCCCCTGCCTCTATGGCAGACAATTTCCACCACATTCTCTCTCTACTTTTGGGCATTATGGTTTTCAACACAGATACTGAGAGGTTATCATGTTTGGTCCTTTGTCTACTTTCAGCATACATCTCCCATCCCGATCGATCCCTCCAGCCATCATTGTCTTAGTGATCCCTTCTCTATTCCAGCTGCCTTCTCCCCTGGGTCATGAGGCAGGCTTCCAACTCTAAAGCAATCTTCCTGGCCCTTGTGTCTACTGTCTTTGGGTGTCAGTCTCATATTATGTTATTTTATATTCCACAAATGAGTTCAGTCCTTCTATGTCTGTCCTCCTCTTTCTGACTCATTTCACTTAGCATGATATTCTCCATGTCTATCTACTTATAAGCAAATTTCATGACTTCATGTCTCCTAACAGTTGCATAGTATTTCACTGTGTAGATGTACCAAAGTTTATTTAACCAGTCATCTGTTCTTGGGCACTCGGGGTTGTTTCTATTGGCTATTGTGAACAGTGCTGCAATAAACATATAGGTGCAGATGTCATTTCTGTATCACTGTCATCTCATTGATCGCCGAATTACTTGAGCAGACACCAGTAATGACTCTATTCCTCCCAGCCCTGAAATTTTAGCATCCTCTTTTTACTCGTCTTTTCCCAACAATCAGAGGCTCTTTCAGGTTTAGGGGAATGAATCCTATTGTCGTTACTGTATTTGGCATATCGAATATGCCACTGGGACCTTGCCAGGCTCAGCCTATGCAGGGTGGATACTCTCGGTTAGCTTGCTGGGCTCTTCAAGAGTCTTATAATGTGTTGTGCAGCCGCTTTGCGGCCACGCAGCTGGGAAAGCAGCCTGGAATGTGGCAGTGGTTGGGCAGTAGAGGTTGGCTGCCAAGGCTGCATTCCTTGGGGTAGGGAGGGCTCTCACCCACTCCACAGCCTGGTGCAGAGTCTGGTGGCATGGTTCTTGGAGCCTCCTTTTATACTCCCATCTGGGAGGAGAATCTGTGAGTTCTGGAGGGTGGCCAATGAGATTATCTGGTGCCAACAGGGTGTGGCTTATGGGTGTGATCCCTGAGTCACTGAAGACTGGAGGAAGCAGGCAGAGGATCTCTGTTCTGGGTCCCATTGAGTACAGAGTTCAAGGTCACAAAGATCTGCATTATCTGGGTCCTGTGGGACTTCATTTTTGCATGAGGCTCAGCCTGAGAGTCTGGAAAGCAGCCTGGAATGTGGCAGTGGTTGGGCAGTGGAGGTCGGCTGCCAGGTCTGGGTCCCTTGGGTTGGGGAGGGCTCTCACCCACCCCACAGCCTGGCGTGAAGTCCCGTTATTTCTGCTGTACTTTTTTGGGTGCCAGAGTTCTCAGCCTGAAGACCTGTGTCTCCTTGAGTTTTAGTGGTTTGACTTGCATCTCTTCCAAGGTTAGCAGTTTTAGTTTTGTTTGTTTTATTAATAAACAAAACACCCCCAATAGTGTTGTATTCCTTGGGGCCACTCCCTGTCATGAGCCTAATGGTGCCTAGGGGTGTCATATCAGGTGACATCCAGTGCTATCTGGGTCCATGGTGGGAGGAGTGAACTTGAGAATATCCTGTATACACGGTGTATGCTCTTGTAGCTTAAGTTGTCTAATCAGATGACACAATTTAATATTCAGTTTTATGATGTCTGTTCAGAAGTGCTCTCTATGCAGAGGATAGTTTATGATTGTGAAAGAAAAAGGAAATTAACAAATCATGCAACAAGCTGCAACATGGATGGAACTAGAAGATACCATGTTAAATAAAGTAAACCAGAAAGACAAACACAAATAATTTCACTTGTATATGGTATACAGTCTAACCAGATGAGGAGGAAGCACACTGTTTTAGCATGCCTGGGGACTGGAGCAATCATACAGCAGATTGGGTATTTTCCTTACACACATCCAACCCAGGTTCGCTACCCAGCATCTCTTATGGTCCCCAAGCACTGCCAGAGTAATTTCTGAGCTCAGAACCAGGAATAATCCCTGAGTACTGCTGGGTGAGTCCCAACAACCAAAAATATAAAATAAAATAAATAAAAAGGGGGTGCCTGTATCACCCTTGGCCAAGAGTATAAGAGGAGAAGGACAGAGAAGGAAAGGAATCAAGAGGGTAAGGAGAGACAGATGGAAAATAACAGGGGGAGGAGGTCAAGGAGAGTTGGGTAAATTGATGGTGTAGAGGAGCACATTAGTTAAATATCCAAACCGCAGAGTCAACAACACTGAAAGCAAGAGATCCAAACTATAGCAGCAGAACCCAAAACTGTGCCTATCAGGGGCCAGAGTGATAGTAGAATGGGTAGGGTGTTTGCCTTACATGTGGCCAACCTGAGTTTGATCCCTAGCAACCCATCTTGTCTTCCAAGCCCTCCAGGTTGTGATGGTCCCTGAGTGCAGAGGCAGGAATAAGCCCAGAGCATGGCCATGTGTGTCCCATAAACAAAAACCAAAAACAAAAACAGTGTCTGCCACCTTGGCAGGAGGGGGAGGAAAAGGTGGGGGAGGAACCTAGGAACACCAGGGGCAGGAAACTGACACTGGTGATGGAATTGGTGCTGGAACGTCATGTATCTAAATCTCAACTATGTATAGCTGTGTAAATAATTGTGCTTAAATAAAATAAATGAATTATTTTTAAGAAAGGAAATCTTCCTTACAAGTCTAGAGTGAGATTCAAGGCTGAAGAGATAGATCAGAGGGTAAGCACTTGTCTTGCAAGCTTGGAAATGAGTCAAATCCTGACAAATATATGGTCTCCCATGCACCACAAGGTGTGATTCCCAAGCACAGAGCGAAGATGGCCCCTGAGTACTGCTGGGTATGTCTCCCCAAAAACATTTTTTAAAAAGCTGAAAATGGAACGAGATGTATCAGAATTGCATGGAAAAGGCAAGGGTTCAGAGAGAATGGTTTCAACTCTGCTCCTGACAAAATCTGGGCTAATTAGTTGGCTACTCCCAGCTCATATTTCTTTCCTGCAATAGGTGGTGATAATATTGACCTAGGTTTTTAATAGGCAAATAAAGCCTAGTAGGCTTTTTAAATTGTGTTACCTTTATCTGTTCATAAACCTGTAACATTAATCATTTTTCATAGCTCCATTTGCCTATCACCAGGAAGGCAGAAAACATCCAGAGATGCAGATTCTTAATATTATCATTATGGTGGGGAACTGCAGCTCAGTCAGACAGAGGCTTGCCCTTAATAGTAAAAGCTGAAATAGAAGTTAGTGTCCTTTTTTCAGAAGTGCAGTGTGTGAAGAGGACATTTAGGACCATACAATAGTGACTGTCAAATTATTGACTTGTGTTAGTTTTGATCATACAAAAGGAAAAACCATTTGAGGTTGAATGGCTCTGTGGAGTTGTCACTGTCTTTGTTAAAGGGCCGCCTTCAGAGAAGAACCCTACGGAATTATTGGATTCAGGGAGGGTGTGTTGGTAAAAGCAGTCCTCATGCTGTGTCTGTCCATTCAGGAGTAAATCACAGAGCTCTTCCTGCTGTTGGGACTCTGATGTTGACATTAAAATGTCCTCTCAGCTTATAAAAATCATTAAGGATTCCATTTGCACCTCCCTGGTGGAAAGTTAAAACATAAAATCATGTCAGTTAGTGTACATTTCAAATATTTACAATCCTGTACCTTCTCTCCAGGCAGAGAACTCTTTCAGTATCCTTCTGAGAAATTCATGTGGACAAAAAAACAGCCCTCCTCCATATAGTGTTTTATTTAGGAAATAAGAGAGAAAATTTTTCCCTCATTGTCCCCCAGAACTCTGATTTCATTATCTCTGATTCCCATGTCAGAGGAAAAAGAAGAGGAAGGAAGAAAAGAGAAGGGATGGAGGAAGGCATTAGAAAGGAACTGGAAGATAAAAGAATAAAGGAAAAGGGAGAGAGAGAAAAAATAATTGACATTTTAGTTGCTCAGAAATGGGTACACTGTACTGAGATTTCATTAGCACGCCACATTTTGAATATGAGGTAAGCTACATTTTAGCAATAAAGCACAAAGAGCAATAATGATGGCAGTAAATATTCTATGTAAAAGATATGAAGAATAGCCATCTTTCAAGCTACTGAAGAATACTTAAAGAGAAAGAGCCTTTGATCAATCAAATACTTAAATGAAGACAAACTCTTTGAAGTACAAGTTGAGAAATTCTGGGGAAGATTAGTAAATTTGGTTTTGGAATCTCTTTTACAGATTGTTGAGGTGCAAAGAGAAATTTAATGAGAGCTTCTTGTTTAGGCTCAAGATGTTAATTACCAAACAGGTGCTTCTCTTCAGCTCTGCTCACTAGATACTGTCTTGGAAATGCAGTCCCTGATGCAATCTAGTACCAGATTCTGGAACAGAAGGAGTTATCAATGAGTTGATATCTACTCTTAAATTGTAGGAATCACTACAGGGCTGACCATGTCCACGATCATCACTGATACAAGAGCCTCCACGCATCCGGTATGGTACATCAAAGTATTGATGGGCACCTATGGGTCAACTGCATCTTTGTGTTCCTGTCAGCCATTGAGTATGCAACTGTGAACTACCTCACTACACTGGAAAAGTGGAAACAATTCAAAAGAACAGAGAAGGTACTATCTTGCTTTTGATTGGCAGATTCTATTTGGAAAGAGCTTCTTATTTAGAATTCTCTCCTTGTATTAAGTTCATATGCCTTGACAAGATGCAAGTTAACCGGGTGTGAAGTTTTAATATTAAAATGTAGTCCTCTGTTTGATGCTGGATGATTTCTACATCAGTATCCTCATTCACCTTTGTCAGGAGATTTTTGATATGAAGAACTTGTCTCAATATGCTCCTCTCCACTAACTCTAGCCTAGAGGAGGAGTTGTTGTATAAACCACATTGTTTTGCTAGTTGATAATGATTACTATAACAATAATGCATAGAATCTAATGAGTAACTTCTTATATAAATCATCATGCTAACCACATAAAAATATTATGTCATTTATTTTGCAGAGTAGTGCTGAGAGGTTGGTACTTCATTTTACACAGGTAAATTAGAAGCAGATGGGTGTAACTTGGTCAAGGCTGCACAGCACAAGAGGAAACATGATTTGCTTCTGGGTTTCCCTGGTTGTAAAGGCTGTGCTAATCTCAGATGAGTCTGTTGGGGCTGGAGCAATAGCACAACACATAGAGCATTTGCCTTGCACGTGGCCAAAATGGGTTCAAACCCTGACACCCCAGATGGTCTCCCCAGCCCACTAGGAGTGATCCATGAGTACAGAGCCAGGAGTAAGCCCTGAGCACCAGTGAGTATGGACCAGTCCCCAGTATACTCCCACTCACCCCCACCCCATAAACACTCAAAAAAAAATGAATGAATCTGTTTCTGTCCACCAACAGCTAGGATTTATAGTTTACTTCTTGACTCTAAGGAGAATAGTAGAATAGAAATATTCTTCTCCTTTCCATAAACTGAAACAAGTACCTCTGGACTCTGTGTAATTATTGTACCCAGTTTGTAATTAATAGCGGTAGGGCATTTGCCTTGCATGCGGCCTGCACGGCTGAGCCGGGTTCAATTCCTCCATCCCAGGCTCATCCTCAGAGAGCCCGGCAAGCTACTGAGAGTATTTTGTCCGCACGGCAAAGCCTGGCAAGCTACCCATGACATATTCAATATGCCAAACACAGTAACAACAAGTCTCACAACAGAGACATTACTGGGCCCGCTCGAGCAAATCGATGAACAACAGGAGGACAGTGCCACAATTATTTTAAAGCTTCACATAATGTTAACACCTCACATTTTTCAAAAAAGAAAAGAAAAATTGGCATAAAATCTGCAGATCATGCAGTGAAATGCAGAATTTTCTTATGACATCGTTTAATAAACAGGGAAAGAGTTCCTTCTACCTACTTTATTTCTGAAATGACTAAGAGTATTGGCTCTCTGTAGTATGAACTGACATAGGCCATTATATTCAAAAAATTGTCAAAAGAATTCATTTGTTTATTAGTTTATACTTCAAATACAGATATAGATACAGAAAGGCTAAATATACATACATACATATATATATACACACATCACACACATACACGTAATTCTAGATATATTCACATTGGCTTAAATTCTTATATGAGCATTTATACACACCACAAAGTATTCAATATTTCTATACTTCCAGAGAGAGCATTTCACATATTTTTTATAGTGCTTTTAAAGTTTCTCCTACACCAACCCTCTTCTACACAGCTCTTTAAAGTTGGCCTGGCAGAAATTATACCTCTATTTTTAAAATGAAGATGCCAAGTTTTAGAGAATTAAAGTGATTTGCCAAAGGATTCATGGCCAACTGAACTACAATTGCTATTCAGATCTCCTGTAATATTATCTTCATTCTTTTAGATCCTTTGAGTCAAAGCTCTGGAGGAACTGTTTTTTTTTTTAATTTTATTTTATTGCAGATGCTTCGATGTCTTTCATTGATAACATGTGAGTGTGTGCCCCTGACATATTATATACCTACAGTGATTGCCACCTTGGTGTGAGAAAACCAGGAAATTTTAGAACTAATATGTGGCAATGGGTATCTATACATCTTCAGAATTTATTCAGTTTTTCATTCAATGAATCTGAGTGTCTATATTTCTAATAGTCTCCAGATGATATCGATCCATTGCCCATGTCATGAAATAAAGCCACTCAGTATCCCTACTCAGAGTAGGTAATGCTGTTCCCACTGGAGAGTGCTGGAACTGTCCAAGGGGGCAGTATCAGCCTTTGTGTGCTCTTGGTGGTGCCCCCTGTGTATTAGCTTAAAGGAGGCAGATTTCCCAGGGATACTGAGTGGCTTTATTTTCTGAAGCGGTGGCAGTCATTCAAATAATTTGGGGGATCTCTGATTTAGATCATGTGTGAAATGAAGATAGCAGAGACAAATGCATGATGAGAAGAAGAATTTTTGTGCTTTTTAAACATTTTTATTAATTTAATTTTATTAGTATTGAGGCAACATGGTTTGTAATGGTTGTTGATGCTCATGCTGTTGGTGTATAAAATATATCTTTTGCAAAATATGACTGTGCCACCTCCACCCCCACCAAGATGCCCAAAACCCTCCACCATTGTCATTAAGTCATTAAACAAAGAAAGACATTGAAGAAATTTAGGGCAACCTCTACCACTAGTCTTTTGACTTCAAATTACCTACATTCCTTTTCACTCCCTCCTGCTCATGAAATTTTTCTCTCCTTTTGATTGTAACATCAAACATTTTCCTTTGCATTAAGAAGCATTAATATTTTAAAACTTACTTTTTCTGTTTTTATGATAAAATACATATTCAGAACTTTTCATCTTAAGTGTACAGTTTGATAGTTAAACGTATGTTCACCTTGTTCTTCAAAACTTTATACTTCAAAACTTTATCTCCTTGTAAAACTGAAACTTGTAATCCTTAAACTGAAACCTCACCTTAAACTGAATATCTAAATACTCCACCCCTCCCCTGTTCCCTGGCAACCACCATTCTAAACAATGTTCAAAGTTGCAATGGTCAAGGGATAGTAGGAGGGAGGCCCTGCTGGGTGGATTCTAGGAGTGATCCTTAACTGCTGAGCCAGGAGTAAGCCCTGAGTACTATCAGATATGGCCCCCAAACAAAAATTATTTTTAAAAAGTTTTTTTTAAATAAAGGTGCAATTATCTAAAAAAAAAAAAATCCTACTGTCATTTGTAGAGTTGTGGGACCTTATGAAAAAGGACAAGCTTTCGAATCAGACATGATGCAAAACTAACCCCACCACTTTTTGTGAACCTCAATCTTTGTTTGTTAACTGATGGTGTATCTTCCTATAAGGATTCCCAAATAGGGGGCAGGTCAAGGATGTGTTTGTGCATTTGGGATCTAGTCAATGATACTTCTTTCCTCTATACCAGAATTGGAAATCTGGAAATCTAGTTTTAGGAAGAGATAGAGAGGTAAGTGGGAGTCAGACAAATGGATATGATGATGCCACTTTTGTGACTGACGTAACAGTTTAACAGAAGTGACCTTGTTCTGTGATCAGGAGGGCTCACAAATATTTCACTGAATTTCACATTCTTCTCCTTCTTGGTCACTGAATGTAGGATAATATTGGTTTGTCCTATCTCCCTTGCCGCAGGAAGCTTAGGTTTATTGGGTTGCAATGCTCCCAAGGCACTCCCATTACTCTGTATTTATCTTTAACTTCTCCTTTGTGCTCTGGTTTCTCCATTAATCATTCATTTCCTCTAACCAGAACCTGTGACTTGTAAAGTAAAATTCTCCAGAGATCTCTAAATGAAATATTGCTCTTCTCTTCACTTACCTTCTCATAATTTATTATAGAGCAATATCCCTTTTGTATAGACACAGGAAGACAGTTAATGTTATGCTTTTATAAGTTGGAAATTCATTGACCCTGAATAATATTTATTCCTCGGCATCTGTCATATTTACTCGATTTAAGCCTCAGCTGCCTTTAGTTACCAGCACCCCAGAAGCAGGGTCCCAACAAAGGGACTGGATGAACCCAGGGCAAGTGGTAAGCTTTGAAATGGGACAGGTCAAGGGCCATAAAACTTATAGAAAGCTAAGAGCATAATTCTGTGATGTGAGTGACTGGACAAGGACCCTGCTAGAGTTAGGAAGCAGGGTTAGGAAGGATTAATCTGGCCTGAGGACTACAGTCTGGGGTCTATAGTGAGATATTTCCAAGAGAGCCATCCTTTAAGCTTAATATATCTCTTACTGTGTCCATACAAAGATTGATTATAAAGGTTATTAAGAAGTAAATTTAAGGTGATTGTTGAAATGGTTATGGACTAAGGAAAGGAGAAATTTGGCCTTAGATGAAATTCTGCCTTTGAGGGGACCTCCTACCAGGATGAGATCTTTGTTTTACAAAAGCTTCCCCAGAAGGAAGGGCTTTCATATGTTGATTGTGCTACCTCACCTATGTGTAATTGCTATCCCCAAACCTTGGTGACTGTTCTCTATAACTAAGGCTGTGGGAATGGGCTGGAGGAGGAGGAACATGGACAGTGAGTGAGACTGGAAGAAGGCAGAGGAAGACTAGGTTGGAATAAATGGCAATTGATCACCAACCAGCCTGGTCCCATTTTCTCCTTTCATCCATCACCCAATGCAGAGTCTCCTGCCCCCGCGCCTGGCTGTCCTTGCTGGGGCCCCTTGGAGGGGAGTGGGTTGAGTTTCCCTCCCCACCCCGACCAGGGCTCCAGCAGCTGAAGACCTCCAGAACCAGCCACCACCATGCTGAGACCACTCTCCACACGCATGAAGGTACTGGCAGAGGAACAAAGGCATGAGGGTTCCGGGGCTGAGATCTCCAAGCCTGCTTGGATCGGGGCTGAGCATCCTCCACCCAGATCCTCCACATTTCAGTAGGCAGGGGTCATACCCACCAACTGGACCCCTGGCGCCGTGTAATCCCATCAATGGCTAAAACCCAGAGACTATAAAACCCAGCATTTGTGGCCACGCGACATCTTATTATCTCATTCTTACTTTGGACAAAATGGCAGGCTACCAAATGTAACCTGCCCACATGTCAGAGTCTGGCATACTCCTTGTGGTGTACCCAATATGCCAAATACCAGTAACAATGATGGGTCTCATTCTCCTAACCCTGAAAGAGCCTGTAATATGGCACTTTTTAAAAAATCTCAGGGCTAGGACGAAGGAGACATTACTGGGGCATGCTCGAGGCAATCCATCACCCTCAGCCATCTGGGGTGGGAAGGCGGCCTGACCACCGAACGCACATGGTGAGAGAGTGCCGCATTTATTTTGTGATTACACAGTTGACATGTATGACTCTCTTGATAAGGAATGCCTCTTTTTACTTCACTTCAGAGAATAAGCCTCAATACCAAGGCAGATGCCAAAGTGAAGAATACCCCAGAAAAGACTAAACCATATGCACAACTTTGTGGTACATGCCAACTCTTCTCCCAACACCCAAGGATGAAATGGTTAAGGATGATAAAACCAAGAATGTTAGGCTATGGAGTACAACTTTAAAAAATCATCAAGTCATAAAAAGATCTCTTTCTGCTACCACTATTGTTACCATGGTGCACACATCACATCCACATCTCCCAAATACAGAGAGTTGGGAAGACATCAAATACAATGGAAAACATTTTTCTAGTGTCTATCTTTCCCCTTGGAGAAAGAAATCGATTTTATTTCTTATCTGTTTATTCAAATGGCTTCCTATTTCCAAGACTCCTTGCAAAATAGATTAATAGTTGAGAAATAATATGTGCTAGCTTATTTGTGGGCTGGAGGAAAATTTTGAAGACCAATTCTAAGACCATTTTTATTAGAAAGACCCACCTTTAAACCTGCAAAAGTTGCTATCCTTCTGGTAAACTTTATGCTGAGAGATCTAATGAGTTATATAAGTAGTTCTAAATTATCATAATGGAAAAAAGCAAAATGGAATCTTGCTCTTCAGAGAAAGTATTGTCTTTTTTTAACATGTTAATGGCATTTTTGTAAAGGTAAAATGGTGTCTGGTAGAATGACTCAAAAATGTACTGTGTTGCTAAAAGAAAGCATTTGAGGGTGTATATAGTTATTCTATCCACAGAGCAGTCAAGCATATTGTTGTCTTTACTAGTTATCTGAGATTAGTCTTGATTTCATTTCATGTTTATTTTATAATTTTCAAATTAGTCTTGATCACATTTTATGTTTACTTTACAATTTTCATAATATAATGGAAAACTATAATCAAAGCAAAAAGAGAAAATACAAATTGAATTTGGATCTCTTGTTAGTTTACTGACTGCAAAATAGTCTCTGTCATTTAAGTAAAATCAATTTTCTACATTGTTATGAACCGAGGACATGTTTTGGCTGAATTTGTCAGAGTTCTCAATCATTTTATCTAGTAGTAGGCTGTTCATATTTGTTCATTTTTGAAACTTCCCTATAGATCAAGAAATGATTTTCTTCACTCAGAAGAGCAATTAGTAACAGCTGTTTCCTACACAGCCCTATACCAGTGAGAATCACTATTATCCTCCAAGTAAAATCCTAGAGAAAAATAGTAGTTTAGATTCAATCCGGCACTGGCACTAGCAAGCACTGATAATTTGGTTCTTCTAAAATGTAAGCCAAATTAAAATGGCTAACTAAACTATGTTAGCATCATGTGAAGTGTTTGACAATTTCCATTTTAAAACAATAGCTAAAATCATTCCCTATGCCATCCAGATGATGTCATTTTTAGTTTAGGGTGAAAAACACTCAATGACCATCCTGAGGAAAAAACTATACTAAACAAACTCAATTGACTTATATTGCTTTCCTGACAAATCATATTCAATTTGAATCCACAAAGTTATTGCAAATAATTCATGGTATTTAGTAACAAAGGGGGAAATCTGAAATACGTTGCCTTTTGGGGAAAGATGCAGAGAGTATAGTAGTCTATCAGGCAAGGACTAAATTACAAAACACTGACTTTATAATTTTGTAGCATTTGTTTATATAATACTCAAATATCTCTATGGAAATTGTTACAAGCCTCACTAAATTCCTTTTAAAAATGAATCTCTAAGATATTCTTTTCCATCTATTAAAATAACTTTTAGTAAGCTACCAGAAGCCAAACCAGCATTCTAGTCTTTAAAATGGACAAAACATTTTTAGCATTTATTGACAGCTATTAAAACCAATTGTTTAGATAATTTTACTGCAGTTTCTATTTATAAAAGCATAGTCTTAACTAGTACAGGTTTTTAAAAAATTTTTCTGAAATATTCCATATCAATGCAGTTTTCAAGACATGGCCTTTAATGGTTGTTACCATCATGAATATGATATTGATGATATTCTCTTTTCTCTGCACTCTGGAGAGATCTCTATTTGAGGAAGATCCACAGGCAAGCCCAGTACAGACTTCCACCAGATTTAAAGAAGAAAATCCCTAGGAGGACATGTTGGTAGAATCATTCTAGAGAACCACCATGTCATTGATACCTATTCAAGGATTTTATTTCTCTTTGTGTATATTATATTTCATTTGTTTTACTGAGGTATCTATGTATGAAACATAACCCAGAACGTATAAAACTTGTTTGGAGTCACAGTATGCTAAAAAAGAATGAACAACAGTTTTCTATAACTCAGTACCTGCTAGAATGAACTGACCAGTGATCTCTTCTGGCCTAAAGATTTGAAAATTGACTGCTGACATAGAGGAAAGACTTTAAGATCATATGAGAATATTACTCAATAAATAAGAGTTGTAGGTATGTGCATTATGAAAACTCAGTTGCTATAAATCACCTTCCTTCCTTCCTTCCTTCCTTCCTTCCTTCCTTCCTTCCTTCCTTCCTCCCTTCCTTCCTTCCTCACTCCCTCCCACATCATTTCTTCCTTCCTTCCTTCCTTCCTTCCTTCCTTCCTGCCTGCCTGCCTGCCTGCCTGCCTGCCTGCCTTCCTTCCTTCCTTCCTTCCTTCCTTCCTTCCTTCCTTCCTTCCTTCCTTCCTTCCTCACTCCCTCCCACATCCTTTCTTTCTTTCTTTCTTTCTTTCTTTCTTTCTTTCTTTCTTTCTTTCTTTCTTTCTTTCTTTCTTCCTTCCCTCCCTCCCTCCCTCCCTCCCTCCCTCCCTCCCTTCCTTCTCTCTCTCTCTCCTTTCCTGATTCACACCCAACATTTCTTTGGGCTTACTCCTGACTCTGAGATCAGGAATTACTCCTGGTGGGCTTGGGAGACCAGATGGGATTTGAGAGATCAAACCCTGGTGTGATTTTTGCCCGCATGCAAGGCAAAAATCCTACCTTCTCTCCTATCTCTCCAGGTTCATGGAGAAGAATTTTTAACCATATAATCTGAGGTTTTCTTGCTTTTCAAGTGTAAGTGTTCTGTATTTAGCTAAAGAGAAAAGATGTACTGTACTAATAATTCAAGAAAAGTTTGTTTCTTAGTTTCTGTTAAGTTCCAGATTACCTGAGTTGAATCCTAAGGAAAAGAATCTTCATCAAGGAGAAACTTTGAACATGACTGATGTTGCATGAACATTCTTTCGGTCAGAGGCAAAGAGATAGAACACGCAAGACCAATGTACAGAGCACCGAGGGCCAAGGCTTGTCCAGGCTCGTTCTGGCTCGAGGCAAAGAGCAACTGTCAGAGGCCTCCTTTTATTCTATTTTTTTCAGTCACATCCTAATTACTTCATCACAGAGAAAGACTCACTAACGAGAGTACAGACAGTTACAGGAAAAACATTCGTCAAAGGAACATCAGGGTATATTTATTGTCTTGTCAAAGCTATGTTGTTATGATTTAAAACGTCAGAGAAAGATAGGAAAACTGGAAATGTGGCTTTACAGATTAAGTCCCTCACGTTCTTGTGGTTGGTTACACATAGGGCAAAGAGAAGGCTCATACTAATACTTGAAGGTCAATCCAGATTAAGGATGTGTAAGAGAGGGGGAAACTGCTGCCTTGTACTGCCGAGATAATGTATGACTAGGCGGGCATATGAGAGCATGCCGTACTTCTCCAGGTCATCAGACTCACAAGTTTTTAGCTTGCCCACTTAGTGAGAAGTGGGACCTAGATTCTGCTTCCTGCTTGCAGGGCAGTGTCCAGAGGCTCATCCTAATGTCCTGGCTTAGCACCAACAGACTGAAATTCCCATGAAGGGCCTCTTTCTCATTTCTAATCATCTTATGGTTTTTTCACCCTCAAGTGTACTATATTACGTGTTCATTCAAGGGGGACCAAAAAAAATGGGACTATACAGTATTCCCATCTTAATGTTAAATTAACAAATTAATTTTTAATAGTAATCTCTAAAATTTTGTTATTGAGATATAACAATTATACTTTGTCAAAGAATTTCATTAATTGAATACTTTATTCTACAAATGTTTGTTGACTAGACAGATTTTTTAGGGGAAGGGGTGCACACTCAGAGGTGGTCAATGTTCACTCCTGACTCAGCACTCAGGGATCAATACCAGCAGTACCGAGAATTAGTCTCATGCAAGGCAAGCACCCTACCCATTCAACTACCTCTTTGGCCCACTTTATTAAGTCTTATGTACTGAATAAAAAATCCCACAAAATATGCACTAATTGTATGACATCCCATATGATTAGCCAGAAGGAACAATGAAGTCTTGCCTTTTGCAACAACATAAATAAAACTAGAGTGGGTCCTGCTAAAATAAATGTCAGAAGGAGAAAGACAAGTACTGAATGGTCCCATTTACACACTGTTAGAGAGAGAGAAGAAAAGCAAGGAACCAGATAAAACCAAACCAAAGCAAATCCTTAGTCTGAGGTAACCAAGGTAAAGTGGAGAGTGTGCTGAAAAGGCTCAAGGGACTGGGGGACGGTAATTTAGTGATGAGTGTAGTATAGTAACATATTTTGCATAAGTATGAAATTATGGACTGGAGCAATAGCACAGTGGGTAGGGTGTTTGCCTTGCATGCGGCCAACCCGGCCAACTTGAGTTTGGTTCCAGTTCCTCCGCTTCTCTCCGAGAGCCCAGCAAGCTACCGAGAGTATCTTGCCCGCACAGCAAAGCCTGGCAAACTACTCATGATGTATCCGATATGCCAAACACAGTAACAACACAACTCACAGTGTTACTGGGCCCGCTCTAACAAATGGATGAACAACGGGAGGACAGTGCTGTAGTGCAGTGCTATGAAATTATAATCCTAAAATACATACATATATAGACTAGTAAATAAATATTACTTCAATAGAAACTTTGAAAATTTTAAATGTATGACAAGTCAGCCTTTAGTTAAAGCATACTTCTAACAGAAAGAGTAAACTTGGAGGTATAATAAAAACAGTGAACAAATGAACGTTAAAATAAAGCTCTATGCTCCACGATGCATTATGGAAGGGGGATATAAAACCAGGAAATGAACATCCTACTTCATAAATAATTAAACTTGCTTCCAGACATGGAATTGAATGGGAAATTAAATGAATTTTATGTATTTCGTAATAATAGTAGCTTTGGCTGAACTGACTAAACCAGATCAAGTGAGTATTAAATAAATGGTAAGTAGAATAAATCTCCAATGACCTGCCTGCATTCATTCTGAAGATAGGCAGCCTGCATGCTTTAGTAAAGAGTATTTCGTGGAAAACATTTTATTGAGAGATAAGCCTTTGATAGGAACTATAAAATGTATCCCTTCCTATTTTGTTTTCTGAGAATGAACTAAGGAAAGTGAAATGGTACATCACTTCCTCTGTACTGCTGTTTATTTCACCATAAAGTGAAACAAAAAGACCTAAAGTATTTTATGCTACTGTAAAGAGACTATTAACTCCCCGCTTGTTCTGGTATTCTGCTATGAATGACTTAGATCTCTAAAAGTTTTTCTAACATGTGAAAGACTCGAAGGCAAACTCTCTACTCTGATTTCCTGTTAAGCAAACTAATTCTATTTTCTCAATACAACTTTTCCAGTTCTTTCAAAACTTTCCAAAGATTATATTTTTCCAGGAAAGGGTCCAAATTGAGCTGATATAGCACTGTGGCACTGTCTTCCCATTGTTCATCGATTTGCTCAAGCGGGCCCAGTAACGTCTCTATTATGAGACTTCTTGTTACTGTGTTTGGCATATGGAATACGTCTCAGGTGGCTTGCATAACTTATTTAAAAATATTTTTCAGTTCCATTGCATATCTGGCCCTCCAAAACAAACAAATAAATAAATAAATAAAAAGGGCAAGTTGTAAAACAAACAGGGGACTGAAGAGTTAGCACAACAGGTAAGGCACTTGTTTTGCATGAATGTGGGTGATCTGGGTTTGATCCTCAGCAACACATATGGTCCCCTGTTACCTTCCAGGAGTGATCTCTGAGCACAGAGCCAAATATAGCCAAATATAGCCAAATATAGCCTCAAATATAGCCAAATGTGGTATCCATCCCCACCCCACTCTCCAAAAAATAAAATTAAATTAAAATGAGCAGAACAAATATATAGTGTTCCCTTCCTCCTATTCTAGTTCTTCAGATGTTATTTTTCTTCTACTTTGAGCTTTTGTATTTAGGATGTCCAATATGTTCCTAGAGATGCTCATTTCACAATTTTGTCAGGCACATCACTGAAGAAGAATGGGTCTATATCACACCATGTATACTTCCTGAAGAACAGTAGTAGTACACAATTGACCAAGCCAATGTAACTTCTGCTACTGTCTAGAAAGGCAGGTATTGCATTTTTCAGTAATAAATGTCTAAAATATGATAGTGCTCAAGGGAATTATTGGAGCATTGAAAATGAGCCACTGAAATTTTAAACACTTTTAAGTCATGAATATATTGAGGGCAGAGCTGTCTCTATTTCATTTCTATTAGGGAGCACCAAGATTTCTGAGTCATTTCTTATTTCAAGAAAAATGAAAATCACAGTTACCTGGGTAATGTGTGAGTGACAGACAGCATATAATATTTACCTCATTTTAATTTTCACTTTATTTGCTGTCACAATTCAGAACAGACTGTATGTGATTGTTCACTGAGGGATAAACTTGGATAGAATTTGAGAACTTGAGAAAATAAGCTATTTTCTAAGATTAAGGTAAAGGCAGTCAGCTCTCTCTAAATATAGAAATGGACTGTTTTACAGGACCTGCATTGGGAAAAAAACTCTTAAAATATGTATTATAAATGAATGATATTGCTTTTATTCTGATTACAAATGAATTATGATCTCATTATAAAAATTAAATATACCAATTGACAAAAAAAGTAATTTTCTCAAAATTAGTATGTTAATGTATAGTTCATTTTTCTGTGCATAACATATATTTTTCAAATGGAATCATTTTGTATGTACTTCATTAATTAATTTTTTAAATTTATTTCTTGAATCACCATGAGAAAAGTTACAAAGCTTTCAAGTTTAAGTCTCAGTCATACAATGATCAAACACCCTTCTCTTCACCAGTAATTATTTTTCACCACCAAGAACCTCAATATATGCCCCTCCCACCCCTCCCAATGCCTGTTAGGCAGATGATTTCTACTTAACTCTCTCTCTTTACTCTGATTACATT